ATTGCAAAATTCCCGTGGGTAAGGTAGGGGTGCTTATGCATCCTTCGGTTGCCTCTGAATTCCAGTGAAACCAAAATTCAAGGCAAATTTGGAGATTCTTGCTTAGGTGTAACACCTAAAAAAGAATTTCCATTAAAGGGGGTGGGTGGGAAGGAGGGAGGATCTTGAAGCCCTATTGTGATGAAGAATACAAATGCTGCCGCCCCTCATTAGTTTTGGAAGATTTTCTTTTTTTTTTAATAAATTTTTTATTGCGTTCCTTTCCATAACTTCAAACAATCCAAACACCACAAAAACATTAAATGCAAGAAACAATTTTTTCTTTTCTTTTACATTCAAAAACAAATTAGAGATCAAACCAAAAAAGGTATATAAACCATTCCATGTTTGGACTTCCCCACACCCTCCGGAACTGCATTCTTTATAGTTTAATACTGTCAGCAATTTGTTACCTTGTTTCATACCTTATTGTAACTTTCAATTTGTTATGCATCCAAATTCAATATATTGTACCTTAATTTCAATGCTTTTTAAAAATAAACATAACATGATTCAATTTAAATTGTCTCCTTTTCTTTTTTACCACTTATTTTAACATTTACTTAATCCTGTTTGCCAAAGCATAGTATTTCTAAATCATGCACTGACTTAAGATTCATACAGCTTATGATGTTTTTGCAAATAGTCTTTAAATTTTCTCCAGTCTCCCTCGATTATTTCTTCATCCAAATCTCGGATTCTGCCAGTCAGCTCAGCTAATTCCATGTAGTCCATCAACTGCGACTGCCAATCCTCCAGCGTGGGTAAATCTTGTGTCTTCCAGTTCTTTGCGATGAGTATTCTTGCTGCTGTAGTTGCATACATAAACAAAGTTCTATCCTTCTTTGACATTTTCTGGTCCACCATACCCAGCAGGAAGGCCTCAGGTTTCTCACTCTACCCGTGGTTCTTCTTAATGGGTCGCCGCTGTGCCGTAGCGAAACGACCCTTTCCTGCGGAGCCCCTCTTCAGAGATCGAAGAGGACCGCCATCACCGTTTCGCGCCGCCTCCGGAAGTTAGTTTTGGAAGATTTTCTAAAGGGTTAACAGCTACACATCCCACATATCCACATTTTGATTGTTTTAAACAGAGGAGAGAGAGAACATGCAAACAAAACACATTTCCTTCCCATAATAGTTACGTGCAAATTTGACTGTGCAGAGATGCAAAAAGATCATGCAATGCTAGGAAATTGAAGAATAATATGGCAGGTGAAATTTACTAATTGTACACTAATATCTGTGATACACGTTGGGGGAATCCTGAGTTATACCACATTACTACATGATGCCTTGGAATCCTTGTAAATACTTAATGTATACCAGTGTTGTGACCCACAAGATTCCAGCAGCAGCAACCCTCTCTGGACTTCCTTTGAAACAGTCAACAGGAAGACTTGGTTCTCTTGCCATTTTTCATACATAGTGGATTTGAGCTTCTTTTATACTATTAGCATCACTTACAAATAATGTTAACATGGGGGAGAATTCAGATGTGAAATTCAATGTATGCTGTGGCTGGCCAGGTTTTATAAGCACATCAGGAGCAGATTTAAAATAAAGCCAATTTAAGCCCCATGTGTGAAATGCCCTTAGTAGCTCATGCTCCCTTATTACAACATAAATAAAAACAAACTGGCTGCAATCCTGCACAGAGTGCGCTGTATGCAGGATTACAGCAAATGACAGCTGCACAGGGGGGTTGGGTATGAATGAAAACCCTGGACATCATCCAATTGTGGCAGAGAGTTCAGGTAAGGCTGTCAAAGCAACATGATAAATAACACTTCTCACATAACTGTGTAGTGTTTCACAGGTCTGCTGCTGCCACTTGTATTTATATTTTTGTAGTGTATACTTAAAGCACCTTGGGGATCCAGTCCTCCTGGCAGAAAGGTGACCAAGAAATTTGAAGGATTAGCATTGATGCAAAAATAGACATAAGGGGTCTGGAAAATATTCCCTCCTAGGTTATAAATACAGTCATGCGAGTCAAATTTGGTAGCCTTAATTACTTTAGCAGAGTCTCCTTAAATGTACTGTGTTTAACCCTATAGATTCTTGTTTGGAATGGCCCAGTGACATACTTTCCAACTTTTGACAGATGAAAATAGATACACTCATTTTACACTAAGCAAGCAATTGGGGTTTTTTATTTTGTACATTAATACTCCTTAGGTACCGTATATCATGGAACCCAAGTCAGTTTACTGTACATGGGGTTTTCAGGTGGTCTCCTTTCCAAGCACTGACCAGTTCCAGACCCATTTAGGTTCAGCGAAGGGGCTTTGTCTTGTGCCCTCAGCAGACAATGCCTTGATTCATAGTGTATTATTAAGCAAAGTGGCAGATGTTCTGCCCCAAAAATTCTAAAATACTATCTTTGAAAACAGAATTGGACCCAGACGTAGGCATGTTCACAGTAAGCCCACTGACATGTGCCACTGATATTGCTGGGTCTACTCTAAATCTGAATTTCTTACAGTCTTGCAAACCATTTAAATGTTGATACCACAAAACAGCTCATTTGTTATTCTATCATACAACAAATCTTACTTCCTAAATCAAAAAACGAACATTTGCAAAACACACCACAAAGTAGCAAAATTGTAAGAACAATACCAAATAAAGACATGAGTATTAAATTGAGCAAATAGGTCCCTGGGGGTAGATGTAGAGTTGGTTTCCATTAGTTATAAATTTAGTATGCTTCAACTTTTACACAGCTGGTGTGATCAAGAATTCGAGTTTAACACCATTATGTTTTTAAATATCTTTAGGACATATATTCAGGAGCACTTAAATATGGATTAGTTGCACATTAACTCTTCTAACCACAATGGCAGCCTTTTTCAGAGAATCCATCTCCATGTGGTTAACACCACATGACTTGATAGCAGGGCTGTGCTCAACATGCCCCACACCACAATATGGTGCTGTTGCACTCAGGTCCTGCATGCAGGTTTCCCATTAGGGCAGGGGTGGGGAACCTCAGGCACAGGGGCCAAATGTGAACCCGCAGACCTTTCTTTCTAGTCCTTGGCACTCGTGCCAATGCACACCCCTCACTGCCCCGATTTGTATCCCAAGTGGAGTTTTTTTCCTGGCTGGAGTTCTTGCCTAGTTGGAGGACCAAGATGGGTGTGTGTGTGTGTGTGTGTGTGTGTGTGTGTGTGTGTTGAAACCAATCTGCTGTAGAAAGGTGAATTGAACCTTCACTGTACTGTTTTTGGTGCCTGCTAAAAACATTTTTGTTTAACAAGCCTATCCAGACATGTAAAGCGGATATGTATTTTGACTTGCAATTTTATTTTATAATGTGTATTTTAACTGCAGATTTCATTTATGTATTTATTTATATGAATAACAAAAAAATAGTTTCTATTTTCTAGTGTATAGTTTCTATTTTATATACTCCCCCTTACACATTCCTGCAACTAAGCAGTTATACAAATTCTGATATATGAACAAATAAAATGCCTTCATGGAAGTGGCAGAGATTAGGAATGAGCATAGGGAGGGTAAATTTAACATATAAGCAGGACTAGGAGTGCATTCTCAGTGATTGCTGGTGTTTCCTCCAGACTCTTTGCCTGTTGTTTAAAAGACCAAGGTGGTATCCTGGGTGTATATGCCTGTTTGTGAGAGATGGGAAACATAAAATGATGTCAAAATGAAACCAAACACTTAAGATAAAACATTATTGAGAAGATCAATTGCCTATGGTTCTGCCTTTCTCTTGAACCACCAGAAAGGTGGTTCAAAATGGTGTTGGCCTGCTTCTGACAGGCCAGAAACGTGACAATGGTTCATAGGTGACTGGAGAAAAGTCTGTGATTGCTTAGAGCAAGGATAGCCAATGTGGTGCTCTTCAGGTGTTGTTAGACTCCCGTCGTCCCTGACCATTTGGGAATGCTGGCTTGGACTGCACTGTGTTGACTACCCTGATTAACACCTGTTGACTGCACCAACCATCTGGAAGACACCATGTTGGGTACCACAGGCTTAAAGGAAGGCTGGCTCAAAGGAAGGCTGAATATCTTATAATTAAGTGTTTGCAGTTGCAGATGGCATAGCTCCAGGAAATGAGCTGCTTTAGCTGTGGCAGTGCACAGCATTCTGTGCACCCTTTACAACTAAAGTGGATTTATAGGACTGAACACCTGCTAAAATGGTTCGTGGATGTCAGCCATAATGAGAAAACAGGTACAGTTGTAGAGGAAACACGGCAAGGTTTGCTGGGACCCGTGAGTGAACCTGGGCTGACCGTCAGGAAACATGGCCTGATTTATGGATCTCATGTGGCTTTCAAGTTAACCTGTTCCCAAAGTTCATATGGATGGTTTCCATTGAAAACAAGCCTGTAATAAGCATTTCCATGCTGTTGCAACAAACGGATACCCTCTTGCGTGTATCTCTGGCATGCTGTCTGGCCTTAGTAACAGGGGACAGGCCAACAATGCACTAATTTGAATAATGTGTAAAGCAAAATTGTTGCTGCATGTTATACAAAAGCCCTTAAGGAGCATCTGGGAGAGTGGCAGCCAACATTTTGTGGCTGGGAGGAATATGGCTCTGCAGAAGGGCGGGGGTGGAGCAGGGTGGGTAGACCCAAGAGGTCAGGCCCTGGAAAAATATAGAGGAAAACGATCAATTGTAATACTAGTTTATTTACTGATATGCTTCCTCTTCAGGAATTGTTATTATCTTTGGCGGTCCCTCATGAAACAGGATAGATAACTACAAACATGTTTCCCCTCCACAGAAAGAATTCTTAAAGCCAAAAACAATCAGCCCCGAACACAGATATTGTAAATGCGTGCTGCCTTTTTTATGCCCATCCATTTACAGAGAATCATTTTTGAAAAATCACTTTGTGATTGCAAAATATGACATGGACTTACCCATGCTCAGAGACCCATTGAAATAACAGCTAACTTAAGTCCCATTGATTTCCACAGGACCCCTCTAAGCCTGACTGAGACTGCAGTCCTAACCTCACATATCTGGAAGTAAGCCCCATTGAATTCTACATAGGGATGTGGGGGAATCGATTCAGTTTGCAAATAACATACAGAAATGGATTATATTAGGAGGAAAGGTTTGCCAAAATATGTATATTAGTCAAAACTGCATACAAAAATGTTTACTAGGAGAAAGTTGTGTTTTCATGAGGATTTTTATTTAGTCAACTTTTTGCAGAAAGGTGAATTTCTGAATTTAAGGTTGGGACAATGAAAAACTTGGAGAACAGATACTGACAGATTTGTCCATTCCTACTTCTGAATAGGCATAGTTAGGATTGTACTTTAGTCTGGACCCACCTCTATGTCTGAATTGACTCCAAAGTTGAGGGTCATGTTTTTCAACATCAAGGAAAAAACAGCAGCACAAAAAAGCAGTCAAAAGCATCATTTATATCTATTTAACACACTCTCTCTCCCTCTCCTCTCTCTCCTCTCCCTCTCTCTCTCTCTCTCTCTCTCTCTCTCTCTCTTGTTTTCTCCATAGGTCTAAATATTTTCAAGGGAAGAAGGTGAATGGGGAATTTGAAATCCGAGTGGAACAGGTTAGTGGGCAATGAAAATCTGTCAAAAATTGGCTCAGGCACGCAACTCAGTACTTGTTTTGCAGGTGCCTGAGCATTTCAGCTAGGAGGCAGTTGAAATTAAGGAAGCATTTTGAGCTGGCTTACATCAGATATAATTTGGTTTTCTGTTATGGTAGTTTATTCATCAAGGCCTGGAGTGTTTTTCCAGGTGCCTGCTGAATCACGCTGCAGATTTTCATACTTTGCTTGCTGCAGGTGAAAACATGGCCTTTCTGAGGGGAGAAAGTTGCTGCTGTTTAAGTTTTATTAAAAAAGCAAAAATAGTAGAATATTTTAGTAGAAAACGTCTGAACAATTTAACACTTCTGCAAACAACATCACTTCCCACCTGTTTTCTTGTCAGAGTGCATTAAGTATTAATGCAAAGGTGCATCCACAGACACCTTCTCAAGACACCCCAGAACAATTCTGAAATGTATTGACATGTTTGCCTTCTTAATTCTTATAACATCTCAGTTCCCCCTTAGCGCATTCTAATTTTCTACTATGGCCTGCTTTGTGCAGAAGGCACAGAAGGACAAATAGTGTTTCCCCCCTGCAAGTTATTGGCTTTGGAAAAGAAAGCCTTCAGCACTGATTTTTCTTTTCCATCACCTTCTGTATAAGCTCTCACACCACACACCATGGCTAGCTTTTGATCTGTTGCTTCTTTCCTGACACGCCAGATTTCACACTTGGCGTGAAAAAAGGTCAGGCTTTCTTTTGGGTTATCTGCTTGGAAAATACACAATTTCTTCCTGGCTCTGCCTTTTTTCATCTCCTAAACTCCCAGCAGTTTTCCAAATGGTATAAACTATTCGCCACCACACCTTAGTACACCTTGTTTATTTGCAAGTTGCAACACAACAGCACATAACTTGAGGACTGTGCCATTCCCCTATCACTATGTAACCCTCTGCATCCCCCACTCCCAAATCTTCCCATTTCCTTGATTTCTTGGAAAGGTTTCTAGGCAAGTAGGCATGAGCCTGATTCCCCTAATTTACAAATCAACTGGTGCTTTCAATACAGAGAAATCGGGGTGGGGTGGGGTGTAAGTATGGTTTTGTGATTTTAGTGCTTGTCATCATCTGTGTGCCTCAGAGGAGACAGAGTCCAATAGATCCTCCAAATGTTGTTGGGCTTCAGCTTCCATCAGCCCTAGCCAGCACAACCAATGGTAAAGGATTATGGTAGTTGTAGTCCACCAACATCTGCAACGCCACTGATTCCTCATCTCTGATTCAGATCAAAAACTTGGGTAAAAATATAATAAACAACAATTGCTTCAGCCCAGTTCCCTCACTTACTTACATTCTCACCAATAGCAAATAACAATATAAAGACACTTTCCTGACTAAATCTACTTGAATGTTTCCAAATAGGCATTTAAGTCCAAGTCAGATGATGTCCTCTTGGGATTTGGTTCTGGCCACTCTTAAATCTGCCTTTATTTACAATTACAGTATTCCTAACCCAGGGTTATAAATCATGTTTCATTAATGTTGTACCATAAACAGTTTACATTTGCCAGACAAATCACTACTACCGGTAATTAAATATGCTGCTACCTGGTAGAAATCTTGTTAAGACAAACATTCCGTTTGAAAGTGAAATCCAGGAATAGGTCAGCTTTATTTCATGTGTTTTCTGCTGTTATCAAATAATCTCATTTATTTTTTATTTTTCTACTCTAGGCAGAGTTTTCAGAACTGAACTTGGCTTCATATGTAGGCACTGGCTGTATGGTGGACATGCAAGTCATAAGGAATGGCACCAAAGTGGTCAGGTGATTGAAATTAACTTTTCCCCCTTTACAATTAATCTCAATCTTGTTGCTGTTTTAAAAAACCAATCTGGGTGGGATTCACCTAATAAACCACATCAGTGGAAGCCCTGCACAAGGACTTCTGCTTGTGCAACAGAGCTTCCCCTGTCCCTCTGCACACCTTCCATGACCCATGGAGCATTTGTAATAGTCCAACACTGAATTCCACCCTCTGTGTTTTTCTTACTATCTGGGATGGATAATTATGAGCAACCTGTTATGGGCTGACCAGCCTGATGGAATGTGAAGTTTATTCAAAGTCAGGACTGCAGGAAAGCAAGGGCTGATTTGGTTTGTGTATTTGTTAATTGATGAAAGGGATTCTTTTGGAAGCAGTTTTTCATAGTAATCTGGATCTTGGAAAAGTGGAGCAGTGTTACTTTGGAGTGTGTCCATACTGCTAGAAAATTCTATCCGCAAGTATCCAAAATGCATTGCCATCTTACCTTAGCCCACCCCATTCTCATTCCCTGGGTCAAAAAAATGTAGAAGTACATTTGTATGTATAAACTTATAAAGTGTATAAGTGGATTGTCCCTTGCATTTTATGGCCATTCCTTTTGTGAACCAGTATTTTAAAAGGATTCTTGCAAAATGAAACCATTTCAACGCTATATGATCTCAAGTGCCTGCTTTAAGAAAGCATGTGTTTCAGTCAGCGGCGTAGCGTGGGTTGTCAGCACCCGGGGCAAGGCAAGTAATTTGCGCCCCCTAACCCGTGGATTTGCGCCCCCTAACCTGTGGATTTGCGCCCCCTAACCCGTGGATTTGCCCTAACCCCAGATGTTGCGCCCGGTGCGGCCAGCCCCCCCTGCACCCCCCACGCTACGCCACTGGTTTCAGTTGTGGATCACATGCAAAGGTCTCAGGTTCAAACCCTGATACTTCCAGGTAGGGCTTTTGCACCTCTCTGAAACCATGACTGCCCGGCCAGTCACTGTAAAGAGTAGTGAGCAAGATTGACTGCTGGTCCAACTTGGTATAAAGTTTCAGTCTCTGTGATTCTAGCAGGATAACAATTACATTTTATTTATTTTTTTACAACACAAAATGCAAACACAAGCATCTCTATGTGAGCAAACTCCCTGGGAATGTGCAGGGGAAGAAGAGGCTGTGGGTGTTGATGGGGAGTTGGGACCATGAATGATGTTCACAAGGCACAATTCTATTCAAATTACAGGAGTCTAAACCACAATTTTGATTAGCATGAAAGCAATTTCCTCAGGGTTGTGCCTGCTTTTTACAGGCATGCATTGTAATGCAACGAGAATGGGAAAAACATAGCAAAGGAAAAGTACATATGGATGAATTTTTGTGTTACAGTACATCCAGGGATACAGAGCAACTATTCTTTTCCTGAGACACAAAAACTTATTGATGTCTGGGTGTGCACAGCAATGCTAGCTGCTGAACTCATTTAATTTTTCTCAGTCTGTTCATTTTAGATACAGTTGTCTTTTTTCTTGTCTGAATTCCTAGACCCTTAGCTGAGAGGGGGGTGGGTTAGAATTTGTACTCGTCCTACTCAACTCATCCCTTATATTTCTTCTTCTTCTTCTTCTTCTTCTTCTTCTTCTTCTTCTTCTTCTTCTTCTTCTTCTTCTTCTTCTCCTCCTCCTCCTCCTCCTCCTCCTCCTCCTCCTCCTCCTCCCTCTCCCTCTCCCTCTCCCTCTCCCTCTTCCTCTTCCTCTTCTTCTTCCTAAAATTTGTATACCACCCTTCATCCATATATCTCAGGTTGGTTCATAACATAAAAATACAAGATAAAAACACAAAATGCATAATAAAAACAAGAGCAAAAAATCCACAAACCAATAACCTCCCACTTCACATCTCCTTGTTCCCTCTGGGGTTATTTTATTTTCTCCGTCCTGAACAAGTGATAAACCTCCTCACAGAAATTACAAGGGGCTGTATACAACTTTCTCTGTCTGACAGCACATGGGTGTGTGTGATGTGTGTGTTGTGGAGCGTAGCAGCCCAGTCCAGAATCCAAAATTTAACCCAGTTCAGACCCATTGGACTCACTGAGGTAGAAAAAGTTGAACTCCAATTACTTCACCTTAGTAGTGTTGTGGATCTGGCTGTTAATGAGTGCGTAGGTGTGCTCAGGATGACATTCTTGCATATGTGGCCCAAGGCATGTGTTTTGACATATATCTGCTCTGACATACTGCTGCAAACACTCAGCATTTGTTCAACACATGTGCCAGTTTGGCCCTTGGGAAACGCAGCACAACCGTCTTGTGTTACCACCCTTGGAGTAATTTAGAAGATACTGGGTGGGGGAGTGAAAAGAGATTCACACGCTTTCCAGTGTCAGCATGAAAGCATGCTTTTAATGGGTCTGTTGGAAAGGATCCCTAATTTATCCTCCTCTATAACTTCATTCAGAAAAAAAGAAAGCATTCCCATAGCCTTCAAATTAATCTGTGCGGAGGCAGGAAACAGATTTCCGTCCAATGTTCCAGACTGAACTCCTACCTCTCATTGTCCAGAGTCCTAGGCAAGTCAAGAGCAGGCAGGCATCTATCATACCTTACATAATATTCATCGTAAAATATAACTTGAAGATGCTTTTAACTTTGAACACGTTCTGTTTGTACATCTATTAGGTTGATGCCCGTTGGGGTATTATGGGCTGAAGCTGCCCGCATGTGTGGACAACTGGAATTGAAAATGACCTGAAAACACTGCCCTTCACACAAGCCCCCTTTTAAACCTTTGTGTAAAAATAAACTTGTACCTATCAGCCAAAAGATAGAAACACTGAATTCGATATTGTATTATTATTATTTCAGGCCAAAAATATAATATGAGCAGTGCCGGATTTACTTAGAAGCTAAACAAGCTATAGCTTAGGGTCTCACTCTCTTGGGGGCCCCAAAAAAAATTAAAGGGGGAAAAACTGGATGTACATTTCCAAAATATAAGCTAAAAAACAAATAAACAAATAAACAAATTAAAAAAAAACCTACACACAGCAACAGTGTTTTGCGCTGTGCAGGCTCCTATGATGTAAGTAATGGGCCCCGCATGCTAGCCAGCTCCCTAAAATATCACTGGTTTGCTCATTTGCTCATAAATTACCATATAGCATATATTCAACACAAAAACAGCAACAATTTGTTGTTGACAAAGGATAGCTGGACCTATAAAGGGCCCCATTACCTTCAGTAGCTTAGGGCCTCATCAAATCTAAATCCGGCCCTGAGTATGAGGATTTGATAAAGTTCTGTCGGTGATCTCTTGGTTAATTTATTCCTTGCACAACTGTGAGTTACCCTGTGTTTATAGGTTAGCAGCTAACTTCAGTACCATTTTAAGCTAAATCTCTGCTGCTGTGGGGACCACCATTTAGTATAATGCATTTAGTATGATAAAGCCCAGATATACCATAATGGATATACCACAATGATTGATCTAGAGAACCACCTATGGGGCTCTATGTTGTTGTGGTTGTTTAGTCATTTAGTCGTGTCTGACTCTTCATGACCCCATGGACCAGAGCACGCCAGGCACTCCTATCTTCCACTGCTTCCCGCAGTTTGGTCAAACTCATGTTCGTAGCTTCAAGAACACTGTCCAGCCATCTCGTCCTCTGTCATCCCCTTCTCCTTGTGCCCTCAATCTTTCCTAACATCAGGGTCTTTTCCAGGGAGTCTTCTCTTCTCATGAGGTGGCCAAAGTATTGGAGCCTCAGCTTCACGATCTGTCCTTCCAGTGAGCACTCAAGGGCTGATTTCCTTAAGAATGGATAGGTTTGATCTTTTTGCAGTCCCTGGGACTCTCAAGAGTCTCCTCCAGCACCATAATTCAGAAGCATCCATTCTTCGGTGATCAGCCTTCTTTATGGTCCAGCTCTCACTTCCATACATCACTACAGTGGTGCCCCGCAAGACGAAATTAATTCGTTCCGCAAGTTTTGTCGTCTAGCGAATTTTTCGTCTTGCGAATCATGAAATCCCATAGGAATGCATTGAAAATCAATTAATGCGTTCCTATGGTCAAAAAAAGTCCAAACAAAGCCAAATTTGGTACAACAACAGTTTATTAACTGCTCTTTAAAGTCACACATACTGTAAAGAGCAGTTCAAAAATTGAAGGGAAAATAAATTAACTTTATAAACATGACAGAAAAACATTTAAAAATCAACAAAGTGTACAGTACATTTTCTAAGACTCTGGGGGACCACTCGAAGAAGGCTCCTCTTCCACTCTTTGCTTCTTGCTCAAGAACCTGTCCATAGTCTGCTGCTTCATCCGCCTTTTCAGCACCTCCCTGAAAGACGACATGACCCTCGTATCAAAAGTGTTCGCAAGGTCACGTGTCAGGTCCTTGTCAGGGTGGTGCCACTGTGCAAAAGCCTGCACATCTTTCCACTTCTGGCAAATGTCCCTCAGTTCTTTGGAGGACACAACCTCCAGGAACTCCGCTGCAAAGTCTTCAGCCACAGGAACATCAGAACTGGCAGCCTCTCCATGCCTGACCACGCTGTGGATGCCAGATCTTGTCTTGAACCGTTCAAACCAACCTCTGCTTGCCTTGAAGACTTCTGGCTCGCCTGAGGTTCCTGGCTGTTCCCGGATGAGGTCAGCATGCAAGGCCTTGGCCTTCTCACAAATGACGGCCTCAGACACTGTGTCCCCTGCACGCTGCTTCTCTTCTATCCAGATGAGCAGCAACTTCTTGACCTCCTCCAGAACAGCTGGGCGGTTCTTCACGATCCTGGTGACTCCCTTGGCTGCATCAGTCGCCAGGATCTTCTCCCTCATCTTCAGGATGGTCCCGATGGTTGATGGATTCCTCCCGTACTCCCTGGCGATGTCCATCACACGCATTCCACCGTCGTGCTTCCGGATGATCTCCTTCTTCATTTCCAGCGTCACCTTCTCCTTCTTCCTCTCGCCGGCCACCGCAGCAGCAGTCTTCTTGGGTCCCATGGCAGCACAGCTCTTAC